CCCGTGCCGGGGAGCCGGGGCCAGCCACAGCTTCTCTGGGCACCCTGGGCCAGGGCCTCAGCACCCTCCCAGGGAAGGATTGCTGCCTCCCATCCCATCTCCATCTCCCCTCCTGCAGCTTCAGGCCATTCCCCTTGGCCTGTCCCTCCCTGCCCTTGGCACCAGCCCCTCTCCAGCTTTCCTGGAGCCCCTGCAGGGACTGGAAGGGGCTCGAAGGTCTCCCCGCAGCCTTCTCTTCTCCAGGCTGAACCAGCCCAACTCTCTCAGCCTGAGGTCTCCAGAGCAGAGGTGCTCCAGCCCTCGCAGCATCTCCGTGGCCTCCTCTGGCCTGGCTCCAACAGCTCCATGTCCTTCTTGTGCTGGGGACCCCCGAGCTGGACGCAGCACTGCAGGGGGGTCTCAGCAGAGTAGAGGGGCAAACATCCTCTGTCAGAAGAGAAAAGTAGGCAGCTGGCTGCAATTACCATTTCACCTACCTAATTTTTATCCACAGTTGGATGAGAGTCAGTACTCAAGAGGAATTTGAGGCATGGTGTGAACACAAGACTCTTGATTCTGGTCTCACAAGAATTAGTTATTTATCTGAAACTAAGTCCTCTAGCCAATGCAAGTATATCTCTGTTGGGTTCTCTGTAAATATAATGAGAGTAATTACTTGTACTTCACAGGCTCACAGTGGTATTGATTAATTAATATGTGTTAATAGTGAGATATGACCATTGATATTTGTGTTACATGCTTCAAACTATCTCTCAAAATATGGTTTCTGATAGAACTAGACAGTTTCAACATCATCACTTAAAGTTTACCTGAATTATGAGGCCGGTGCTTATGAATCTGACTGCCAGCAATGACAGAGCTGTCTTGGGAGTGAGTAAAAGCCTGCTGAGTGGAAAGAAAATCAGTGTGAGTAATGCAGATGAAAAAGGACTAGAGTGAAGCCTTGTCATGGTTTAGGAAAAACAACAGAAAGAAAGGAACAAGTATGTGAACGCTACCGAAGTCAGCACACATTGAAGAACAGCCAGTGAAGTTACTGCGGCTTAGCAAGTCACCACATGGCTGAGCTGTGTTAAGTGTCCAGCTTCCTGGAAATGTGACATGAAACACGTTAATTAAACTTGGGTGAAAGAGGACTCTGCTAATTTGCTCGTTTTGTCTTCAGTAACAAGGTATCATGTAAATGGTTGGTGGCTGTAGGAATGTTCACTTGGCATTTTAAGCTTCCTTAACTGAAATAATGTCTTGACTGAGCCCTTAGTTTTCCTTTAAGATAAACCAGATGAGTTAATCCATGATTTCACAGGCAGCTAAGCTGCTCTGAAAGGGACCTAAAAGAAACCTTGTTGCATGTGTGCCTCTTCTGCCTACTTCTGCTTTTGGCAAAATCAGCTTGTCCTCATGTGTTGAGTCTGTAACAGCAATCGTCAGAGCCCTCTCTAAGCTAATTGAGCTGGCTCACCAAGGCAGGAACTATCTATGGGTGGGTTGGTTGGTTGATTTTTTATTTTATTTTTTTTTTTCCCTCCTGCTGGGTTAGTGAACTGGACTGTCTGTGGAGATTTCCACCAAGTCCTGGAGCTATGCAGAAGGGCAGAAGAACAGGTTATAGGTCGGTTCACCCTCTGTCATGCATCTGCAGCCTCAGGACTTGCATCTGTAGGTGTTCTCCTCCTGCTCCAAGCAGGACACAGATTTGGACCTGCTCTGAGACTATAGACTGGCTCTTCTCTGTGTCATGTAAGAGGAAATTTCCCTAGTTCAGGTCTGGGCTACAAAGAAATGTTTGTTGCTTTAAGAGCATTAGTGCTTTAAGAGCATTAATTAGGATGTATGTTTCTTTTCAAAATGCTTTTAAATAAAATAAAACTCTAATATGGAAGCAACTGTGGCCAAAAGCCCATGTTTTTGCCATTATGATTTATATTCTACAAGGAGCCACTGTTATCTATTCCTGAATTGTTCTCCAAGTATAATCTCTGTCTTCACTAAGACTGTGTGCCGGTAAAACTACACTTGCAAACTGATTTCTAGTAGGGGGAAAAAAAACTTGCTTTGTAGTTAATCACAAAATTAGGGATAGCTAAGTTTCAGTTATTTGCTGGGTTTGGATTTTAGTTTTCTGAACTAAGAAATTTCTCTTTTAAGAAAGTGTTTTGATTGTTGCTACTGTTGATAGATCCTGAGAGAGAACGAAGGTGCCTGAAATACTTCAGAACGTCTCTTTCTTTACGTGTGGAAGAGAGGTGGTGGAAATCCTGGTGATGGCATCTTCTGAAACTTGTCCTACACCTTGTCACATCTGATGCTATAGATGGACCCTGTGGGATGGCTGTATGTGTGGTGAGAAAATGCTCAAAAGTTTGGCCAGGCACTTGGTCTGCCTTCTTGCAGAACACCTGTGTGACTTTGAACAAGTCATTTTGACTTGTCTGAAGGCCAGTCCCTTTCTGTGACCTCTTGCTCTCACAAATTAGCATAGTTTTACTTCCCTGCCTCACAGGGATATTCTACAGAAAATGTGTTTCAAGTATTTAGATGCTCCCAACTAGCAGACTTAATAGAGGAGAATTCTGAGATTCTGTCTGGATTTTTTAATAAAGGATTGGTCAAATTCTGGAGTGAACTGCGAAGGCAAAAGACCGCAGTATACCTACCCCCGTAATGGTGACAGCTGCAAGTATGCGACCTGCCAGTCTGGTGTCTGGGTTAGGCCCACATCTCAGTTTTATTCCCACAATGTCTTTGTTTTTTCGTGTGGGTTAAAGACAGTATTGCGGTGTGTTGGTGAGACTTGCTTAGCGGTGTAACTCAAGCGCACAAGTCCTGCCCTGATTCTGTTACAGAGCTTCTATCCAAAGTTTAGTCTTCGGCTCCCGAATCCAAGAGCTCCTCCTTTGCTCTTGGCACAGGGCTTTGGGCCCTGGTTCAGCACTCAGCTGCCACCTCAGCTTTTCTCTCTGTTAGT